GCGTCATCACCACAATGCCTGCATGGTTAGCCAATTTGACAGCAAGCGAGGGAATGAACATAGAAATCCTGTTGAACAGCGTCATCACCACAATGCCTTCATGGTTAGCCAATTTGATAGCAAGCAAGGGAATGAACATAGAAATCATTTGTTTGACTCCTTATCTGGAGAAGCTTGATACACAGGGTTTCGGGCTGACTCTTATATTTGAAGGGGAAAGAGGGGGGGTGATGTTGCCTTTGAAGGGGGAAGGGATACTCTATGACATGACCATACTCCCCATCCTCTCCCCTCTCGGCCCTCTCTTTCTCACTGTAGAGGTCTGCGTTACATCTTGAAAAGAACAAAAACCAAGTTGGAGCATGTGAATGGAAATACTTAAGTAATGTCTTACTCTATTAAAAGGGCAGCTAATGTGGAAAAAAGTGAACGATTTTGGGGTGGATGCCAAATTCGTGATTGATTCCCCCACCTTTCCTTCATAGGCCCGTTACGATTGTTTTTGTTACCATTCTGTTTCTTAACTGGTTTCTGGTGGTGGCTTGCCACAGGAGCTAAGTGATATGACGGCTATTAAGGCAGAGGATATCTTGGCCACCCTTCAGAGCTTGGAATTGATCCAGTATCGAAAGGGGCAACATGTCATATGTGCAGATCCCAAGGTATTGGATCGTCATCTTAAAGCAGCCGGCCGAGGTGGTCTTGAGGTTGATGTTACCAAATTGATATGGACTCCTTATAAAGAGCAAAATTGATGCATGGCATTGCTGTCAACCTTGACCTTTGGCCTAACCTTCATGTACAAATTAAATTTTTAGGGTGTTAAACCTTGTGAACGTTGGATCTCCCAGGTGTTAGCTCTTTGATGCCTTTTTTGTAAGTTGGTATAGATGTATTTAAGAAAGTCTAATCAGCAAATCTGTGTTCTGACATGTATAATAGGATAGTTTGATGTATTTTGATATGTATGTTATTTATCTATTAGTTATAACCCACGCTTGAAGTTATGATGACTCATAAAATTTGAGTGTCTAAAAAAATCTATCCTATTATATAAAAGTTAAATAAAATTAAAAATNTGAAGTTATGATGACTCATAAAATTTGAGTGTCTAAAAAAATCTATCCTATTATATAAAAGTTAAATAAAATTAAAAATTAAAAATATTTTTTTCATCTTATCAAGTACAAAAAAAATTAATAATTTTTATTTTTCATCCCTCTTATTAAATACAAAGGTACTAATGGATTTTTAGTCTAATAATACTCTTTACTTTGTAAAAATTTTGTCTTCTTTAGATCAAGGGTTTAAGTTTTTCTCCTCCATCTCTCCCTTTTCCCTCCCAAAAAAAAAGAGGAAACGAAGGAACATAAGGGGTTGAAGGATTCTTCCGTTGAAGGATGAAAAGTATATCACTCTTATTCTCTATTCTTTCATTTTTTTAACCCACCCTATCAAATGTACCAAAGAGTTGAGAACACTTATACTTTGTTTGATATGATTGCAAAATGGAACGATAAAAAGTTTGAGGGATAAATAAAATATCATGTTTGGTAAGAAAGAAAATAGAAAAGATGAAAAAGTTGATGCATTAACTTTCTTTCTAACTTATTAAAATAAATTCTTCCAAAATTAAGAGAAAAAGTTGATGAAAAGTTAATTATGTGTGTTGAAATATGCTATTTATTTATATATTATTTGATACATACATATATCATATTTATTAATTATATATTATGTATACATTAATTTCATATATAGATACAATGGTAAAATATGTATTTATATTTTTTTTAATAAAAATTTTAAAAAATTAAAATTAAAGTAAAAAAATAAAAAAAATGTTTTTTCTATCTTATGGAACACACAGAGTAAAAAAAAAGTCAATCCTTCATACTTTCAATTTTTTTTATCAAACACAAAGGAGAGAATGAAAAATTTATCCTTCAAATGATGAAAAGTACATCACTCATATTTCTTATCCTTCTATTTTTTCATTCACCCTACCAAAAAGACCATTAATCCTAATAATTTATCTGTTGCTATAATGAGTAAATATTTGTAATTTTAAGGTAGGCTGTTCATCGATCTTAGAGTATTTGTCTATGTGATTAAACACCAAAACAACTCCCACACAACAGGGGGAGTTGGTAATGAGCTGACTGCTTCAAATTGCTTGGTTTGTTGGATGAGTTGCTGTTTAGGTCAATGTAGTACAGCCATAATTTTAAATAGTGGTTTTGTTTTGTGCTCAAAAAACGTTACTTGAATTTAATTTATTAATTTAATATATTGTTATCGTTTGATTGGTATTGATTTCATTTGATATTGAGATTTATTATAAATTAAATAGCGGTTAGCAAATTATGTCCACAAACCCAATATATTCCGCATTTTAAAGTCACTATATAATTAATTTGTTGCTGCAACACCACTAGTTTAAAATTTGANTAGCGGTTAGCAAATTATGTCCACAAACCCAATATATTCCGCATTTTAAAGTCACTATATAATTAATTTGTTGCTGCAACACCACTAGTTTAAAATTTGAGTTGGGACGACNTTTGAGTGTCTAAAAAAATCTATCCTATTATATAAAAGTTAAATAAAATTAAAAATAAAAAATATTTTTTTCATCTTATCAAGTACAAAAAAAATTAATAATTCTTATTTTTCATCCCTCTTATTAAATACAAAGGTACTAATGGATTTTTAGTCCAATAATACTCTTTACTTTGTAAAAATTTTGTCTTCTTTAGATCAAGGGTTTAAGTTTTTCTCCACTTTCTCTCCTTTTTCCCTCCCAAAAAAAAAGAGGAAACGGAGGAACATAAGGGGTTGAAGGATTCTTCCGTTGAAGGATGAAAAGTGTATCACTCTTATTCTCTATTCTTTCATTTTTTTAACCCACCCTATCAAATGTACCAAAGAGTTGAGAACACTTATACTTTGTTTGATATGATTGCAAAATGGTACGATAAAAAGTTTGGTAAGAAAGAAAATAGAAAAGATGAAAAAGTTGATGCATTAACTTTCTTTCTAACTCATTAAAATAAATTCTTCCAAAATTAAGAGAAAAAGATGATGAAAAGTTAATTATGTGTGTTGAAATATGCTATTTATTTATATATTATTTGATACATACATATATCATATTTATTAATTATATATTATGTATACATTAATTTCATATATAGATATAATGGTAAAATATGTATTTATATTTTTTTTAATAAAAATTTAAAAAAATTAAAATTAAAGTAAAAAAATAAAAAAAAATGTTTTTTCTATCTTATCGAACACACAGAGTAAAAAAAAAGTCAATCCTTCATACTTTCAATTTTTTTTATCAAACACAAAGGAGAGAATGAAAAATTTATCCTTCAAATGATGAAAAGTACATCACTCATATTTCTTATCCTTCTATTTTTTCATTCACCCTACCAAAAAGACCATTAATCCTAATAATTTATCTGTTGCTATAATGAGTAAATATTTGTAATTTTAAGGTAGGCTGTTAATCGATCTTAGAGTATTTGTCTATGTGATTAAACACCAAAACAACTCCCACACAACAGGGGGAGTTGGTAAATGAGCTGACTGCTTCAAATTGATTGGTTTGTTGGATGAGTTGCTGTTTAGGTCAATGTAGTACAACCATAATTTTAAATAGTAGTTTTGTTTTGTGCTCAAAAAACGTTACTTGAATTTAATTTATTAATTTAATATATTGTTATCGTTTGATTGGTATTGATTTCATTTGATATTGAGATTTATTATAAATTAAATTGCGGTTAGCAAATTATGTCCACAAACCCAATATATTCCGCATTTTAAAGTCACAATATAATTAATTTGTTGCTGCAACACCACTAGTTTAAAATTTGAGTTGGGACGACAGGGCTCTAGTAATAGCCTTTTATTGTAATAAAGATTGCCATTGAAGGGACTTGGTAGCTGTGAATATTGTTATCTATGGCTTAGGAAGGGCTTTTCTTACTCATGTTCTTGTACAATTTCGTTCATATGAACTAGAAATGCAACTCACTTGTTTTGCTGTACATGTCTCGCTCATTCACCTCGAAACCGGACCTATCATAATTTTTGATATCAATTCTAGTGGATTTATTATTTTCATTTCTGTTATAACTATGAGTCCAAAGGGTGTAATTTCATTGTCAAGTTTGATTGCTCTTCATTTCATTTATTGTTGTCGAGGTTGAACTGAGAAAATCTATATAATAAAGTACAATACAATTCAAATCTCAAAAGATGAACAAAATTACTTTTGTTTTTCGCGGTTGAAATCTTTTTAAATTTTACTTTAAAGTTAATCAGATAACTAATATTAACATCCCAAATTTAATAAGAAAAATAGGCCCTAATGTTCCGTTTGGGATGATGAAAAAATAGAAGGATAAAAAGTTAGAAGGATGGAAAGTTGGAGGGATATATAAAACATCATGTGTTAGTAAGGAAGGAAAATAAGAAAAATGTAAAAGTGAATAGATTAACTTTCCTTCCAATTCACCAAAATCAATCCCTCCAAAATCGGAAGGAAAGTAGATAAAAAACTAATTATTTTGTGTTGAGATGTATCTTATTTGTCTATATATTATGTATATATTAATTTCATATAAAAATATAATGATAAATATATATATTTTTTTAAAAAAAATTAAAAATCAAAAAATTAAAATTAAAAAAATATGTTTTTCTATCTTAACTAGGGGTAAAAAATTTCGACTCAACACAGTGACATGACTCAAACTCGACATGAATTTTATGACACGAATTTGAAAATGACCTCACACGGGAACAAGAAATATAAAAGGATCATAATTTTATGACTCAACAAGAATCTGACACGATATGACTCAATTATCACCCCTAATTTTAGCCAGCACAAAAAAAATAAAAATAAAATTAGTCATTTTTTTTTTATCTATCCAACCAAACACAAAGGAAGGAATATATATCATTCCTATTTTCTATCCTTGAAGGATAAAAAGTGTATTCCTCCTACTTTCCATCCTTCATACCAAACGTAGTATAAGTGTGTATTTAGGGTGACTTTTTAAAAGTGATACTAATACTTATAACTTCTCATAAGTATTTTTTTTAAAAAAAATTGTTTAAAACTACTTCACCACCATCACCACTACCACCATCGCCCCTCCACCACCTCTAACACAACAACAACAACAACAACCACCACCACCACCACCACTCCCACCCCCACCACCACCCCCATCACCACTATCACGACCACCACCATCACCATCACCGCCACCCTACCATCCCCCATCACTATCTCACTATCACCCCTACCACCCTCCCCCAAGACCATCACCACTACCACCATTGTCACCCACCACCAATTGTTATCACTATCGTCAACCGCTATCACTCACTACCATCATCATCTCATTCTTATATTTATCACTACAACTATCATCCCACTACAATTGTCGCTCACTGTCAACACCCACCACCACCATTGTTGCCCACCACCACCCACCGTCATCCACTACCACAACCCACCACCACCCGTCGTCGCCCATCATTGCCGCCAACCACTATCTCCCACCCCCATCACACTTACCACTACCAACTATCACCTCCCGTCATCACCCACTACTGTCACCACTCACTATCACCCACAGCTATCACCACTGTCATTCACCATCACCCATCACATTATTGCCTAAAAGCACTTGTTGTCACCCACCACCACAATCGTCCCTACCCACCA